CTAAACAAAATCCTGCCGGTGACAACAGTGGGTGACAGTGTGAATAAGATCCAGTGGGTGACAGTGAAAAAAAAGATCCCGCTGGTGACAGTGTGAAAAAGATCCCGCGGAAAGTGTGGAAAATCCCGCGGGTGACAGGTGAAAAAAAAGACATATCCAGCGGGTGACGGTGTAAGATATGATCCGCGGCTGAGTGTGAAAGAGATACGGTGTAGGCTGACAGTGTGAAAAAGATCCCGCAGGTGACAGTGTGAAAAAGATTTGAACATGAAAAGATCCCGCGGGTGACGGTGTGAAAGAGCAAAATCCAGCGGGTGACAGTGTGGAAAAGATCCCATGAGTGTGAAAAAGAGATGAAAGAGAGAGTGGGTGACGGTGTGGAAGACCCGCGGGTGACGGTGTGATCCAAGTGAAAAAGGCGGGTGACGGTGTGAAAGAGATCCAGCGGGTGACAGTGTGAAAAAAGATCCGCTGGTGACGGTGTGAAAAAAGATCCGCGGGGAGAGTGTGAAAGAGATCCATCGGGTGACAGGTGTGAAAAAAATGAAAAAAAAATCCCGGGGACGGTGTGATCCGGGGAGACGGTGGAAACAGATTGACGGTGTGGGATCCGTGGGGACGGTGTGAAAAAAAGAAAGAGATCCAGTGGGTGACAGTGTGAAAAATCCCAGCGCCTAACGTGAAATTTGATCCAGTGGGTGACGGTGTGAAAGGATCCAAATGGATGACAAAACGGGGATTCCATCGGGTGACAGTGAAAAAAATAACAAAAAGAAAAGAGATTTGACATGTGGAAAAAGAACTACAAGCGACGGCTGAGGAAGATTTGAGGGCGGGAAGAGATCCATCGGTGTGATCACCGGGTACGTCCCTGAAGTGGGACATCCCGCGGGTGACATAAAAAGAAGTGGGGAGACGGTGTGAAAGAGATCAGTTCATGAAAAAATAAACTTTCCCGCGGGAGACGGTTGAAAAGATTCAGCGGGTGACAGTGTGAGCATTGTGTGAAAAGAGATGAAATAACGATAACGGGTGACTTTTTAGTTTATCGGGTGACGGTGTGAAAGAGATCCTGCGGGTGACGTGTAAATCCCGCGGGTGACGAAAAAAAGAACTGAATGGGTGAAAAAGATCCCGCAATGTGAAAGAGATCCCGGCTGTGTGAACAAATGATCCCGCGGCTGAGTGTGAAAGAGATCCACGGGTGACAGTGTGAAAAAGATCCAGTGTGAAAGAGATCCCGCGGGTGACGGTGGTGACACGGTGTGAAAAAGATCCCGCGGGAGACGGTGTGGGTGACAGTGTGAAAAAGATCCAGTGGGTGTGGGTGAGTGTGAAAAAGATCCCGCGGGAGACAGTGTGAAAGAGATCCCGCGGGTGACAGTGTGAAAAAGATCCCGCGGGTGACAGTGTGAAAAGAGATCCGGGTGACGGTGTGAAAGAGATCCTGACGGTGTGAAAGAGTGAAAGAGATCCCGCGGGTGACAGTGTGAAAAAGATCCCGCGGGTGAGAGTGTGAAAAAGATCCCGCGGGAGACAGTGTGAAAGAGATCCAGCGGGTGACAGTGTGGAAGATATCCCGTGGGTGACAGTGTGAAAGAGATCCCGCGGCTGAGAGTGTGAAAGAGATCCAGCGGGTGACAGTGTGAAAAGAGATCCCGCGGGTGACGGTGTGAGATCCCGCGGGTGTGTGAAAGAGATCCGCGGGTGACAGTGTGAAAAAGATCCATCGGGTGAGAGTGTGAAAGGGCGGGTGACGTGTGAAAAAGCTGACGGTGTGAAAAGATCCTGGTGGGTGACAGTCCGCGGAAAAGATGTGTGAAAAAAGATCCAGTGGGTGAAAAAAGATCCCGTGGGTGACAGTGTGTGAAAAGATCCAGCGGGTGACGGTGTGAAGTGGGTGAGATCCCGCGGGTGAAGTGTGAAAGACGGGTGACGGTGTGAAAAGATGATGTGTGAGAGTGTGAAAGCGATCCATCGGGTGACAGTGTGAAAAAGATCCCGCGGGAGACAGTGTGAAAAGAGATCCGCTGGTGAAAAAGATCCCGCGGGTGACAGAAGATATCCCGTGGTGACGGTGTGAAAGAGAAAGAGATCCAGCGGGTGACAGTGTGAAAAAGATCCCGCGGGTGACAGTGTGAAAAAGATCCCGCGGGAGACAGTGTGGAAAGAGATCCCGTGGGTGAGTGTGGAAGTGTGAAAGAGATCAGGGTGTGAAAAGAGATCCCCGCGGTGGGTGACAGTGTGAAAGAGATCCCGTGGGTGACAGTGTGAAAGAGATCCCGCGGCTGAGAGTGTGAAAGAGATCCAGTGGGTGACAGTGTGGAAGAGATCCCGTGGGTGACGGTGATCCAGATCCGCGGCTGGGTGATCCGTGGGTGAGTGTGAAAAGAGATCCAGATCCATCGGGTGAGAGTGTGAAAGAGATCCGGGTGACAGTGGGAGAGTGTGAAAGAGATCCATCGGGTGACAGTGGGTGAAAGAGATCCATGAGTGGAAAGAGATCCAGTGGGTGAGTGTGAAAGAGATCCAGCGGTGGGTGACAGTGTGAAAAAGATCCAGATCTCGTGGGGGTGACAGTGTGAAAAAGAGATCCCGTGGTGTGACGGGTGAAAGAGATCCCATCGGGTGACAGTGTGAAAAAGATCCCGCGGGTGACAGTGTGAAAGAGATCCAGCGGGTGTGGAAGAGATCCGTGGGTGACAGTGAAAAAGAGATCCGCGGCTGACAGTGAAAGAGATCCGTGGGTGTGGGAGACATCGGGTGAGTGGAAGAGATCCCGGGTGGTGTGAAAGAGATCAGTGGGTGAAAAAGATCCCCTGGTGACGGGTGACAGCGGATGAAAAGATCCAGCGGGTGACAGGGGAAAGAGATCCAGTGGGTGACAGTGTGAAAAGATCCCAGTGTGAAAGCGATCCATGGTGGAGAAAAAGATCCGTGGAGAAGTGTGAAAGAGATCCAGCGGGTGACAGTGTGGAAGATATCAATGGGTGTGGGGTGTGACAGTGTGAAAAGATCCCGCGGTGACAGTGTGAAAAGATCCCGGGTGACGGTGTGAAAAAATCCCGGGTGACGGTGTGAAAAAGATCCGCGGGGAGACGGTGGTGAAAGAGAAGCGGGTGACAGTGTGAAAAGAGATCCCGTGGGTGACAGTGTGAAAAGATCCCGCGGCTGAGAGTGTGAAAGAGATCCAGCGGGTGACAGAGAGATCCGCGGGTGACGGTGTGAAAGACGGGAGACGGTGTGAAAGAGATCCCGCGGGTGACGGTGTGAAAAAAGATCCCGCGGGTGACAGTGTGAAAAATATCCCGCCGGAAAGTGTGAAAGAGATCCAGCGGGTGACGGGTGACAGTGACGGTGTGAAAAGAGATCCCCGGCTGAGGGTGAAGAGATCCCGCGGGTGACGGTGTGAAAAGGAGACAGTGAAAAGACGGGTGACAGTGAAAAAAGATCCAGCGGGAGACGGTGTGTGAAAAAGATCCCGCGGGTGACAGTGTGAAAAAGATCCCGCTGGTGACGGTGTGAAAAAGATCCCGAGACGGTGTGAGATCCCGCAGACGGTGTGAAAAAGATCCCGCTGGTGGGTGAGAGATCCCGCGGGTGAGGTGTGAAAAAGATCCCCAGGTGGTGTGAAAGAGATCCAGCGGGTGACAGTGTGGAAGATATCCGTGGGTGACAGTGTGAAAAGAGATCCCGCGGCTGAGAGTGTGGAAAGAGATCCGTGGGTGACAGTGTGAAAGAGATCCAGCGGGTCGGGTGACAATGTGGGTAACAACGCAAGAGATCCATATTCTTACTCGTACATATCGTTTATGTTTTTTTTCCGTCTCTGGAGATGATGGTCTAGCAAAGAGTGTTCCAGTCTATTGTCCCGACCATCAGGATTCTTTGGAGGCACTGGGCAGCCGATACAATATACATTCTCTCAGTTTTACTTAAAATGTCGAAAGGAATGATAAGCCCTAAAAAGGGCATCACTCTGTATATCCCTGGGTATAGTTTAGAATGGTCCAGAATAGCGGTATGGGTAATAATTATAAACTACATCCGCCAGCCAGGCCTCTTACCTGGAGGTTGGAGGCTTTGAGGATCGTGGAGGCACTTCTTAACTGCTGTTGTACCTAGGTCCTCTTTAACCCTAGGTTGTTAGGCTCCTATTAGACAAATATCAACCCATCCCCAAAAACCAACAGTACATTTTTATTATAAAATTACCAGCAATACATTTTTATAAAAAAATTACCAACAATACCTTTAAAATAAAATTACCAACAATATATATAAACTATATATATAAAAAAAAATAAACGTTTACTTTGAAAGTATAAAATTTTATACAAAATATCTGTAGCTGAAGGTATAACATTCCTTTCAAATTATTTAGGTTTCGGCATTAAATAACCCATAGAGGTGTTGATATGCCGTTGAACAAAATCAACCCACCAACTAGTCCGGGATAACCTACGGGGTATGATTACGACTACCCTACTTGATGCCATGGTATATTAAATAATCTACTTTAAATCATACTCCTCTAGGCCAGTTTATATCCGATTTTAGTATGAATATCAACAACTCTAAACTAGTCTATAAACTAGTAATGATAGTAAATATAAGCTCATTCAGTAATAATCATATATTCATGTTTTTAAAAAAGGACGAGTCATGTTTAATTAATACAATTGCTCATTAAAATAAAGAGAATGCACGAAAGTGGTTACCTCCAAAGATTTTCTAAAAAAGATCGTACTATGATGAATAAAAGCTCTAAACTTGATAAAAACAAAGTTTTATCGTCAAAATATTTATATCATTATTAAGAGGAAAGACAAAAGTATTTTTTTTTATTATCTTATCAAATTTTATAATCCACTCTAGCAAGTTCGAAATTTTGGTTAAAAATCTTACTTTTCTTGCTTCAGCGGGTGGGTTTCAGATTACTGTATGGATTTTTAGCGTCTTTATTGGCGTTAAAAACACACATTGTTTTGGAAATTCTTGCAAAAATCCAATAATTGTCGGATTTTAATTAAATTTTCAGAACTTATTCACAAATGAATGAAATCATTTTTGAAAGTTTTACTTTTTACAAAATCTTATTAAAACTAATTTTTAAAAATCATTTACTCCCTCACACTTAATTTTATGAAATTTCGAGAAATTAAAATTTCAGTCTCTTAATATTTATATTAGTTAAAACAGGACTCTTTGGAGAATTTAAATTATCAATTTGTTTTTGTCAAACAGAAACACCATTTAGTGAAAATTTACTCTGAATCGTAAAATGAAAAAAAATGTAATAAAACTGACATTATTTAATTAGAAAAGCTTTTAATTGCTTTTATAAATAAGATGTATTAAGGACACTATTGTTTTAAAACATTTGTTTTCGATGAATAATGAATTTTTACAAGAATTTCTTTCTTTTTTTAAATTTTAATTTTTATTTATAGTTTTGAATCTGTTAAAATTCTGTATTAATTTCAGCCTTTTAGATGATACAAGTGATTGAAAACTATATTTACTAATCATAAATGGAAACGCTTAATACAATCATCAAACATCAATATTTTAAAAAGAACTAAAAAATTTTTTGTATATAAACGTGCCAATTTTTGTAAGTATGTCAGAGCATACACAACATTATCAGAAAATAAGAGCGATAACTATAATAAATTTAAAGTCAACATCTCTAATATTCAATAAAACATTACATTACGGGTCACATTTTTCTAAATTTTTAAGATTACTGCGTACTTAAAAATTATATAAAAAAGACGCTCACGTTAGTTTCTTCAATTTTGTCTTACAGATAAAGTCTCCATAGTACAATATAAGATCTGTCATCGCATTGTCAAACGTCAACACAGCTACTGCCGGGCTAAAAAAATCATTTCTGTGATAATTTAAACTTAAAGTAAATAATATTTGTCTCAAATCAGATTAATTATACTTTAAATCAGCTAATCTTCCTCAAATAAAGTTTCAGAAAAGTATATTTTATTTTTGGAAGATTTTTTAATAAGGCGAATTACATTCCAATGAAAGCCGACCAAAAAGAGCGCTAATCAGTTATCTTATAAAAAAACTCCTTCCAGTCATTTTAAATTATTTTTTGAAATAAAGCAAAGTATTTTAAATAGTGGAAATATTAAATTTAATCTGTTAGCTTGAAATTAAAACTAAAATAAAGCTTCAAGCTATATTATTCATTTTAAAACAATCATTTTAAACACTAGTTATTGCGTTTTTGTGGAGGTATCTACTTTCTCACCCAAAGGGACCGAGTGCGATCGTGCACTTATAAGCATCGAATGACGAATCCTCTGAATAGAGCAGCGCTTTGCTAATTATTGAAAATTGGAACAAAGACTTGAATTTCCCAGGGGATTTTACATCTGATTTCAGGATTTCAACACCTTGACTTTAAGCTTGTGATCTCACATTATCTCTTCGCCGAATAACACGTTTCTCGTTTTTTCTTCATAATAATAATAATAATAATAACAACAACAACAACAACTACGACAAGAATATAATCAACTTTTCATCTTTGATGACATTTTGTTTTTCTCTGCAGGTGCTTTGTAAAATCACTCTTTTTCAACATCTCTTGCTTATGTTCATGCCACCCTGGGGTCAAAACTAAAAGAAAAAAATGTCCCTGTGGAATTTCATGACAGGTACACGGAAAAGTACTTTTGCTTTGAATATTCTGAAGATTTTAGCAGGTTTATTTGTATAAACTGAAGCAAGTTTCTGAAGTAATCGAAACTCACAGGTGCAATCACTACATTGTAAAATCTGATGCTGCATTGTAAAATGTATCCAATCGTAACATAACTAATATAACAGTTATTCAACAAAAACACATACAATAATTAAACAAATTGTTGTAAACTTAAAGTGGTTACAAACAAACAAGTCGAGTGAAGGAACAGCAACACTCGGGTAGATGAAAGAAAGAGAGGTTTATGAGAATACACTACTGAAAGACAAAGAATCGGGTAGCAGGCGAGTAATTCCTGAAGCAAGGATATCTACCAATCGCCCCACGGTCAGATGTGGCACAAGGCCGAATTTAACGTGGGGTATCCGAGCCTGTAGGCTCGGCCAAAAATTCCCGTATAAAACGGAGTTGAGTAGCTGTTTCCCGAGAAGAGACTCTGTCCTTCGACATAGCTTCGTCTGTGGATCCTCTCTGCCCGAAGGCAGACAGTTTGACCAGCACAGCTGGAGACGAATCTCCAACTAATTGCCGGATCAAGCCCCCAGGTATATTCTGTGCTCCCTATATATATCTGCTGATATAGCTAGTCCACATAACAGCACCTCCGCGTCCTGGGTAAGACGTTAAACTACATCCGCGTCCTGGGTAAGACGTTAAACTACATCCGCATCCGTTAAACTACGTCCATTAGAAAGGCCTCTGACCAGGAGGTTTTGAGGAGCGTGGAACCATCTCTTAATTGCTGGTGTCCCAGGTCCACTCTGACCCAGGGTGGTAGCACCTGTTAGGGTTCCAGCTATGGGCAAATAGTTAACTATTACCAGCAATACTTTTTTGAAAAAATTATTACCAGAAATACAATTTTGAAGGAAATATATTACCAGAAACAGATTTTTGACAAAACAAAATATTACCAGCAATAAAATTTTTGTCAGCATTAAATAACCCATTGAGGTTGATATGCTGTTAAACAAAACCAAACCAATCTAAACCAAAGAATACATATTGTATTCATACGAATCTATCCTAAAAATGTTGTCAGTGTCGGCATTAAATAACCCATTGAGGTTGATATGCCGTAAAACAAAATCTAAACCAAAGAATACATATTCTATTCATACAAATCTGTCCTAAAAATGTTGTTGGCATTAAATAACGCATTGAGGTTGATATGCCGTTAAACAAAATAAACCAATCTAAACCAAAGAATACATATTCTATTCATACAAATCTATCCTAAAAATGTTGTTGGCATTAAATAACGCATTGAGGTTGATATGCCGTTAAACAAAATAAACCAATCTAAACCAAAGAATACATATTCTATTCATACAAATCTGTCCTAAAAATGTTGTTGGCATTAAATAACGCATTGAGGTTGATATGCCGTTAAACAAAATAAACCAATCTAAACCAAAGAATACATATTCTATTCATACAAATCTGTCCTAAAAATATTTGTTGGCATTAAATAACGCATTGAGGTTGATATGCCGTTAAACAAAATAAACCAATCTAAACCAAAGAATACATATTCTATTCATACAAATCTGTCCTAAAAATGTTGTTGGCATTAAATAACGCATTGAGGTTGATATGCCGTTAAACAAAATAAACCAATCTAAACCAAAGAATACATATTCTATTCATACAAATCTGTCCTAAAAATGTTGTTGGCATTAAATAACCCATTGAGGTTGATATGCCGTTAAACAAAATAAACCAATCTAAACCAAAGAATACATATTCTATTCATACAAATCTGTCCTAAAAATGTTGTTGGCATTAAATAACGCATTGAGGTTGATATGCCGTTAAACAAAATAAACCAATCTAAACCAAAGAATACATATTCTATTCATACAAATCTGTCCTAAAAATGTTGTTGGCATTAAATAACGCATTGAGGTTGATATGCCGTTAAAAAAATAAACCAATTAAACCAAAAAAAAATAAACCTAAAAAATCATTAAACGCATTGAGGTTGATATGCCGTTAAAAAAAAATAAACCAATCTAAACCAAAGAATACATATTCTATTCATACAAATCTGTCCTAA